TGACCAATCACAGTCGATTATTCTTCTCACATTCGACTGTGATTGGTCAACTTCTTACTCTTACTTCTTACTCCGTGTATTGTAGACGACGCCTTAGACGGTCTTAAATATAAGATCCAACTATGAATACCGGCCTTTTGACCACAGCCTATGGGTGCTTTCCAGCAAGGGACACAGTCAGACACAGTGTAACACAGTGAATCATATGTCCTTGTTGTTTGCTTACATTAAACAAGGATGAAACGATTCACTGTGTTACACTGTGTTTGATTGTGTCCTTGCTGGAAAGCACCCTATCGGGTGCGATCCACTTCATGCTGCAAATGTTTTAAAGCATTCTTTGATTGGTCAATTCGTAAAATTCTTTCTTCTGATTGGTCAACGAATTGTTTGCAGCGTTAAGGCCGCAGCACACGCTCTTATGCATAACGCATAATGCATAGTACATAAAGGAATCAACCAATCAAAATTCTTCTTTTCCATGAAATGGGAGGAAAGGAAAGATTCTGATTTAAGGGCCATTCCACACAAACTTGCAGAGTCACATAACCATATGCATAAAGCAAATTATCCAATCACATTTCTGTCATAAAGCCAAGCGTAAACTACGATTGGATGATTATCTTTATGCATATGTTTATGCGGCTATGCAAGTTTGTGTGGAATGGCCCTTGATTCGCTTATGCACTATGCATTATGCGTTATGCAAGAGTGTGTGCTGCGGCCTTTAAAGCGGGGAGCACAGACTCTTGCATAACGCATAACACGTAATGCATAAGAATATGTACCAATCGAAGTTCTCCGTTTCTTTCCCTTCCATATAATAGAGAACTCTGGTTGGTTCAGTTTCTTATGCCTCATGTGTTATGCGTTATGCAAGAGTCTGTGTTCCCCGCTTAAAGGCCGCAACAAACACTCTTGCATAACGCATAATGCACAGTGCATAAAGGAATCAACCAATCAAAAATCTTCTTTTCCATGGAATGGGAGGAAAGGAAAGATTCTGATTAGTAGATTCGCTTATGCACTATCATTATGCGTTATGCAAAAGTGTGTGCTGCGGCCTTAAGGCGTATCCACACAACTTGCATAGCCGGATAAATGTATGCATAAAGAAAATTATCCAATCACATTTTATATATGACTTTAAAAGAGAACTGCAATTGGATAATTTTCTTTATGTATAGTTTATGCGGCTATGCAAGTTTGTGTGGATATACCCTTAAGTGTATCACACCCATCATCACATCATGAAAAAAAATGGCGGAAATGGCTAAATTCTTAACTCGATCGGAACTCTAGACGGTTAATAGCGCAATCTGATGAGGAATGTGACAAACAGCTCTTTTTTATTTCTCCTATACGGACAAGTGGAGTGTACTAATTTATCGAAAATAATCACGGATACTCAGCTCCGCTCCCATAATTTCGCACCGAGTGAGTAAATTGCAGATAAGTCAAATGCCTTGATCCAGGTTGCCCGTCATGCGCCGCGTCGCAGACGCGGTGCAGTTCGCATTTCGTTTTCCAAGAGCGAACGAGATTCCCCGCGTGAGCCACTGATTTGGCAGATCGGATACACCCCGATACGACGATCCCCATTGTTTATTCGCACCATTTACCAACCCCGGAGAATTTATTCAGATGCTCCTCCCCTTCCCACCTCTAAGTAGAATTCGATGGAACTTCCGCGCGCGCGGTATCCCACTCGTTTTCCTCTCGCACGTCTTCGTCTTTCATCCCTCGCTCTCTCGCACGCTGCAATACCTCCTCAATCTCATGCTCTTTTGCTTTCAGACGAGACGTGACAATAATCCATGTAAATGAGCTGAATCCCGCGAAAATGAGCTCGCTACAGCAAGGGAACAGATTTCTGCCGTTCTCGAACAATAATTTACAAAGAAAACAATTGTCCATGCAAGGTACAAACTTCATAAAATGTTGCATTGATTGGCTGTAAGTTACAGCCTGTAACACATGTGGCACATGATGACCTTTGCCTATCTTGACAAGACACCTATTCAGGATGTTCTTTCTATAGGTGGTCTTCCCCAAAGTTTGAGCGGCAGCGAAACTGATGTTTCTACGTCCAACGAAAATCTGAGCAACGAAGAGAGATATGTCATAAGGCATACGGCTCGGCAAGAGCCACAGGGTCAAGAAAATCAGCAACAGAGTCCCTCCAGATCTTCCAGTCACAAAGAGAATATACCAAATATTCAGGTGCATCCAAAGCATATGAAAAACAATAGGCTTTAAAGAACATACACTAATTCAGGTATAAAAAACAAACCTGATACTGCATTTCACTTGTTAACAATTGCAACGCTCGCAAGCATCATTTTATCCTTGTTTAATATTTGGAGACAATAAGGATGAAATAATGCTCGTGAGTGTCAAGGCTGGAATCAGACTATGCGTTGAAGATTGAGATTGAAGATTGAAAAATTGAAATTTGATTAATCAAAGCAATAGGAGCTGAAATTCCTCTGTTTCCATTGGTCAAATTTCAATCTTCAATCTCAATCTTCAATGCAGTCTGTTTCCAGCTTAAGATGATACACGGAAGGGGGGGGGGGTCCAGGTAATGTTTCCAAACGCAGCCTTAAGGAAGTCAACTTGAAGAGTGGGGGTATCTCGTTTCCTAATCAATAACACTAAGGCTGGATACCCATGAGGTGTATTTACCGCGTATCGCGTAACCGCGTAACCAATCAGAAGCTATCCGCTGTTGTGGTTTCGCGTTTTACTGATTATTGATTGGTTACGTGGTTATGCGATACGCGGCAAATACGCTTCATGGGACATCACCCTGAGGGTGCCATTACATGAAGCATGGAAATGAGGAAACGCGGAAACGCGATAGACAAAATTAATTAAACTTTACTAGATTTCCGCATTTCCGCGTGTTCTGTTTCGCTTGTTTTGATCCTACTATTACATGCAGTACAATTTGAGCGGAAAAGCGGAACGGGAAATTAGAAATTATTAATTTTTAAAGGCATTTATTGATTAAAATGCTTGTATTCAATACATAAGCTGAAAAGATAAGCATATTAATAAAAACTGCAATGAATTAAGTGAATACACTTTTTTAAAATGAATACAAAAGTGCAGTATTTGTCACTATATCGTTCCGCTTTTCCGCAGAAATTGTGCTCCATGTAATATTAGGGCTGCGTTCAGAAACATTACCCGAGTGCCCCCGCGTATCGTATTATCTTTGTTGTTCACTCAGTGTTAAACAAGGATAAGATAATACACGGAGACACCCGGGTGATGTTTTTGAACGCAGCCTAGGAGATCAAAACAGGTGGAACAGAATGCGCGGAAACGGGCAAATCTAGTAAAGTTTAGTTAATTTTGTCTTCCGCGTTTCCGCATTTCCACGCTTCATGTAATGGCACTCTGACACAAAGGATGCAATCCACTTGTTGCTACAAATGTTTCAAAGCGTACAATTGATCAATTGAAAGAAAGAAGTTTACTAATTGACCAATCAAAAAATGCTTCGTCCCAAATAGCCCGCTCCCTAATCTAATTTGGTATAGATTTGAAAGTGTCGAACAGCGAGACTAATCAAGGATTACTCAATTTTAAAAAAATCACGTACTAATTTGAAACAATCTGTTATGTGATTTACTTGTCTTAATTACATAATTTCGTTACGTAACTGTAACATAATTTTTCTCAGTAGGGATAAGAATCGATTGTGATTAACTTGTGACATCTTAAGATTGTAGGAGACTTAAGGATAATATTTTCTAAAAGTATCAGTCAAATAATCCTGATGGAATAATTTTACTGAAATTACTATTTCACGTTTTGGAGCACTTTTCAGCGAAATTTCAACATTTCAGAAAAATTACAGCAAAAATTTCAGAGAAATTGCAGAAAAATTTCAGTTAATTTTCAGCGATTTTTCAATATGGGTGCTTCTCAGCAAGGACACAGTCAGACACTGTGTAACACAGTGAATCGTTTCATAATTGTTTAACGTAGGCAAACAACTAGGACTGTTTTCCAGCTAGGACACAAAGACGTTACACTGTGTTCCACTGTGTAAAGTACTTGTTAAAACGCAATTTAGTTTCATAGAGTAACACTAGAATGCATTGCAGTCTTCCATTCTATTCTTATAATTATATTTAGCGTATCAATAATAGATTTATGATTTTTATCAGGGAATGGAAGTAACTCGTTACTTGTAACGAAGTTACGGTTACAAATTACTTTTTTGGTAACTTTACTAATAACTGCGTTACTTTTTTTCTTTGGTAACTGTAACGGTAACAAGTTACATTTTTTTAAGTAACGATAACGAATTTTACAGTTACTTTTATCATTAATTTGCACATGATTGGACACTAAATGCGACACGAGCCACTTACACTGTAAAAAAATTTCATAAATTTACATATATAATAGATGTAAAATAGATTACATGATTAGTCTTGTAAATATAAAAAATCATGCAATTGTATAAAAATTATGTAATTCCACAAAAATTATGTAAATTTGTTTTTATTGTGTAAATATATCTTATTTTATATTGAAAATTATGTAAATAGCAGGATATTTTGAATATTTTCTGTAATTATCCAAATTTTAGTAATATTACGTAATATAACAGAAATTTTTCGCGTATTGTTGTTAAATGTATAATATATAGTGCGAAATGTATTATCATATTATCGTTCCTACAACTACACATACACATTACAATTGTACTTCCACAATCTTTAGTTACAAACCAAGAAATTATTTTTATTTGCGTATTGCAAATTTACAAACGTGTGGACGTTCACAACTATTATAGTGGGTCTCAAAATTATCCAGTATATAATTTTACACAATTTTTTACAGTGCATAGCGCTTGAGACTAGAGAAGCCCCTAGGCCCGTCCGCTATAATTGACGGTCGTCGATTTAAAAAAAAGTAACGGAAAAGTAACGAAAAGTTACTTTCTCAAGTAACGGTAACTGTAACGAGTTACTTTTAAAAATCGGTAACTAGTAACAGTAACTTGTTACTTTTCTTACTCGCTCATGAGTAACTGTAGCTTGTTATTTTTAAAAAGTAACTTTCCATTCCCTGATTTTTATTTAGACTTACGTTTATAATTTTTTCAGAATTGGCGATTTTTGAAGGTTTTATTGCAAAATAAGTACGGCTACCAAATAACTTTTTGAAAAGCTGGTAACACTGACATATTTTACACACTCATACTTAGCTTTTTACTGTGTCGAGCAGTGTAACACTGTCATAATTGGAACACTGTGTCTTTGTGTAAGACAGTGTTACACTGTGTCACTTATGTATGTTGTTGAAAAACATCCAGTGATGTAATAATTCACTGTGTTACATTGTGTCTGACTGTGTCCTTGCTGAAAAGTACTCTATGTTAGCTGAAAAATTCACTTTCAGTAAAATTTCAGCAGATTTTCAGCAATTTTACTGAAATATTCCAAAACGTGAAATAATTTCAGCGAAATTTTTTTACCAGAGTGAGATATAATTAAAAAGCATAGATAATAGGAACAGGGTATAAAGCCGTGATCAAACTAGAGATTGGAATTGGATTGAAATTTAACCAATAAAAAGAAAGAAAACTAATCTCAAGTTTAAATTTTGCTTCTGTTGATTAAATTTCAATTCAATTTCAATGCCGATCTCTAGATATAACTAATAAAACAGCTTAACATTCGATTTATATTATTTATATTATTCCTTCGCAATTCTTTTGCAATTCAACGTTGTTTCCTTATCTAAGTTAATATGGTTTATCATGATACAGGGCAACCTACATAACAGGAATAGTCTGAAAGACAGTTTAAACGGATCTAACAGGAACAGTTTAAAGGAGAGCTTGAACGGTTCGAATCGGAACAGCCTGAAGGACAGCATTAATGGATCCAATCGGAATAGTCTGAAGGACAATTTGAGCAATCGCACCAGTGGTTCAAATAGGAGCAGCCTGGACGTCTCAACGAGTTCTTACAACACATTAATTATACATAACGCTAACGACGATAACTCATGGATTCCATCTGGAAGGTAAGCATGCATTTTTTATTAACAACTACAGAAATTACTTTGCATCTCTTATTTGTGAACAGATTATCGGGCATAGTAAGAGAACATGGAGATGTGGGTTACTTGTACTGCGATGGAAAGGGCCATTCCAACAGTCCTACAATACAGTCCTTGTCCAATTTGCCGCACGAAGATTACGTCCACGATCAATCAGGTGGAGGTTGCCAAGAAATTACGGATATCCCGGATGATTATCTTAATCAATCTCAGGTATACCATAGCGATTAGTATAATAAGCAATAGACAACGTATAGCATTAAATTTTTTTATTTTGCTTTCGCCAATCTTTAAATACATATCTATTTCGTCTTAAGACAGCAGATCTAAAAATTTATTTAAATGATGTCCAGATTTTTTACTTGAAGAATTTTACTACTCTCAAACGACTTTTAAATGAACAATCCCGGTTGATTAGGAAACAAGAAACAGAATGTTATTTACCAATAATATATGGAAGTAAGAGAAAGAAATTTGTATCTGTAACGGATAACACTAGAGAAACAAATGATTTTTTATCTTGAATTTAATATGGATAATTAAATGATAGTAATAATTGGAATACATATATCTACGGTTCTCGAAAAATCAGGACGATTCGTTCTGATCGTACACTTGCCAAGTAAAGATATGATTTTTCCTCTCTAAATTACTAAAATAAAACAGCTTTTTCATCCATTTCTCATGAAAGTGTTTATGTTTCTGAACAACATATACTGAACGTTTGACGGTCATGCTTGTGTCCTCAAGAAGTAATCACGATTGTAAAGGTAGTTGAAAGCATGTAATTGCAAAGAGATATTGTTCACTGCCGTAAATTTTATATTATTTTAAGATGAAACTGACGGAATAGCTCTACCGTTTCGCGCGTTTTTGCATAAAGAAAAAAGAAAACACACTGGAGACTAGTAGGTTTTGAATGTTTCTCTGTATCTGTTTAATTCTGATTTATAGACACGCGTATGCACTTCACAGGTCTTGAAACATCTAGCAAAAGAGGTGAAAGTGCCACCGTATCCTAATAACAGTGGTAGTTTAGAAATGAGATTAGGAGAGATAAGAATAAGAGACGGTGACAGGGGAAAGCAGAACGACAGCGAGTACGAAGGCAGGTCGACACCGTGTTACGTACCCCCGTTGTTCAAAAACAAACACAGGCTCTTCGGACCAACGGAAAAGCTGACTGTATCGCGATCGCAACCAGATCTATCCAGGATCAAGACGGACATCGATAATTACAAACTTCGGACAATATCGCCCCGGTAACGTAATATTTTTCATTTATGCCTCGCACAATCACCGCGATGTTTAGCTAACAGACCTGGATCCTCCACAGACCTCAGACCAAAGGACGGGAGGAATTGGAAAGGGAGACGGGCGAGATATGGCCGTCGTCGGAGATGATTCAGATAGTAATCCAGGAGAACAGCATGTTGAAACTCGAGCTGGAGCGCTGCTACAACAAAGTTGCCAAGACGCAGAAGCTGGAGCAGGAGATAGCGAAAGTGCATCGTGTTCACGAAGAGCTTGCAGCATCTTGTGAACGACGGGAGAAGCTGGAGCGTGCCGCTCGAATGAAACTGCAAAACGAATGCCGCCGTTTGACTGAGCTGAATCGCGCATATAGAGACCAGATCGACCTGCTATCCGTGCGCACAGATAGCCCGCCGATCGTCGACACATTGCGGAAGGAATTGTCGCAACGCGAGCTACTCATTGGACAACTCCTTTCTCAAAGTACGATTCGTACCGATTACATGCAAAATAGAGAGATATGACCTCCCTAAATTATTACCTTTTCGTGTGTTTTTAGACAAAGAATTGACTAATGCGAAAGAAAGGCAGGAAATTGAACTAACGGCCCAGCGGGCCACTTTGCAGGAACAACGTACGCATATCGACATTCTGGATACCGCCCTAACGAACGCACAAGGCAATGTTGTGCGGCTTGAAGAAGAAGTAAATTGATTTATTAATAATATCGATAAGGTCATATATAAATAATTACATAAAATTTAAATTTTTGCATATGAATAATATATAAAAATAGTTATATATACAAATAATTAACAAATTTACTTCTTTTTGTAAAAATTAGAAAATATTGTTTCACTTTTTTGGTTTCATTAAATTCTAATTTATTTAAAAAAGAAAGAAATTTCATAAATAATTACATTCACAACAATTATACGTTTATGTGGACATTGATTGGAAAATTATTTCTATATGTACAGTGTCGAAAGAAACAAATGTATGTGGAGAGAGTGGGCCAACTTCAGCGGGCCTTGTCTTCGCTTCAAGCGTCTAGCGATAGACGAGAAGAGACCGAGAGACAACTGAGAGGTCAGCTGGAAAAGGAGTTGCGCGAAGGTGGCGGTGGTGGTAACTGCAACGAGCAGACATCGAGCGGTGAAACGATCGCGGATCTGAAACGACGATTACGTGAAAGGGACGAGAAGATCATGTCACTCGAAGGCGACGTTGCAAAGTGGGAACAACGCTACCTCGAGGAAAGCGCGCTGAGACAAGCAGCTATCGATGCTGCCAGTTTACCAAAGTAAGCCGAGTCTTTTTTTTCATTCGTCTTTTCTCAACACGCTCGTCTTTTTTCCTTACACTTTCTGTTTATCTCTGTGATTAGAGACGCAAAGATCGCTGCTCTGGAAAAGACCAGTCAGGACGCAGAAAAATTAATCGCCGAGGCTCGTTCGGAGAAGATGAAACACATGGACGAAGTACATGCCGCGCAAAAGAAATTGGCCGATCTCGAATCTAGGTAAGAAGAATATTTTGAGACTCGCAACGATCACTATCACTAAGAGAAAAATATACTAAATTTTAATAAATATTTGTTTATATATATATATATATATAATATAAAGTTGTATAAACTATTTTATAGTTATTATAACTATAAGTTATTACAACTATAAAATGATTTATTCAACTATATATATGTATATTAATTCTACATATAAACTAGTATATATAAAAATTAAGATTCCTTCAATTCAAAATATAATACAATAACTATACAAATTTAAGGCAATATTAATCTGCGCTGTACTTTGTGCGCTAACAATTGATATCAATCTATAAATATAAAATGTTAAGTCAATACAATAAAATTAATAATACATAGTCATCTCTTAAAACTAAGAACGAGACGTTAATTAATTAGTTCAACTGTAACTGCGAGACTCGAAACCTCTGGTCCTGTCGTTTATTATAATTTCGTCATGTTACATTGAGGAATTTCATAGTCCATGTAGTTGCATTTTAAATGACCTCATCCGTCGACAATTCTCAGACCATCCAGCTTGCAAACTGGTGTTGGATGAGATCCTCTCGCCTGACGATTGTGTGAAGATGTTAGGGGACGGTCACATTATTCTATAGATTCCACCATCTATGATTAGATAGTTTTTACAACGCTGAGGAAGGCTAGAAGTTAGCCGAAACATACGTGTTATTCGTCTCGTTCTTAGTTTTAAGAGATGACTATGTATTATTGATTTTATTGTATTGACTTAATATCTTTTATATTTATATATTTATATTAATTATTAGCGCACAAAGTACAGCGCAGATTCCTATTGCCTTGAATTTGTATAGTTATTGTATTATATCTTTAAAATTGATGTCACTATGTTTTTCTTCAAGTGTGCTTACGAATTATTATGCTACGTAGTCAATGTTTCTTACTCTAACAGAATGAAGGATCTGGAGTCCAAGTTAGCCGAGAGAGACGCTATGATCAAGGTGCTGCAAAAGCACACGTACGACAAAGCGGACAGCAGTAGCAGCAGCGGCGTGGGCAGCTATCCCGCCGCGCATTCGTCTCACTCAAGTACGTCGGCGGATCATCATACCGCACTGACAAGCACACCGGAACTTGGTAAAGAGACCCTTTGGAGAATGAGATTTAAAGGAATGCTGGAGCGACCAAATTATCGACATTACAGTCGTATAAAAATCTCCGAATTGATTGAACGGAATCAAAAATCCTTTTACAGGATTAAAATAGGCGCAAAATCGACTTTAACTTTTTTTCGGTTTTAGTATAAAGTCTACTGTATCACCTCTCGATTTTGCGTCTATTTTAATCTTGTAAAAGGATATTTGATTCCGTTCAGTCAATTTGGAAATTTTTATACGACTGTAATGTCGATAATTTGGCTACTCCAGTATCCACTTAAATTAACTCACCGATAATTCTCTTTCATGAGTTGGGGCAATTTTAATAACATCTTCCTTCTCTGGTTTTTGCACGAAAAGTGAGCAGCGTACTCGGTGGTGGCAGCGGCTACGGCAGCACCGGCTCCTATGGCGTTACTGACAGTTATAAGTATAGAAAGCAAGGCAGCTTTGAGCAGACTAATAAGAGTCTTGATGATCAACTGAAAGAGCTAGATTCTCAGCTGCTTAGCAAGGTAGGCAGAATGAAGCGAAGCGTATCGCGTGCGCTCTTTCCATCGGATGATTAATTCTCAAAAGCTTTCAAGTCTTGAATGGCATCACGTCATCTCGCGTTGTCTCGCGTTTTTATATTATTTGTAATCATTATTACGTGCGCCATCTGATACCATTTACATTTTGCTCACATTAATTTTACTTGTTTTTTTTTCATCAATAGAGATACACGTTAATTTACGGACGATCGATATTTTGAGTTTTTTAGCAACCTTTTTAATAGTCTCCGCTGAATCATGCAAATATTACAGGTCACACATTCGAAGGTATCCTTGCGTTGCTGTGTATGAGGAGCTTTAGAGTATCTTTCATTATCTCCATTATTTTTTCTTTTTTCTTTTTTTTAAATTAAGAAATTGTCTCGAGAGTAGCCAACGTGTACGTCCGTAAAACGAAGAAGAAATCTCAGTCGAATCCAGTTGCTCTCACATGACGAATTTAATACAAAAACGAGAAACGTTACATTCTGGCTATTCTCTGGTTGGAATTACTTGAAACGCATAACGATTTTAATCGCATAACAGTGTGTGATTTAACAGTCTAAAATTTTATTTTTATTTTTATACATTTATTGGAAGAATTATGTGTTATTTTTAATTTTTCCGAATAACTTCATTGCTTTTGTACACGTGTGCGTGCATAAAGCCTTTTTTGTGCCGTTTATTTTATTTTTATTTATTTTGCCGAACATATGTATTAACTGTTTGTCAAAATTGTGTTCCAGTAGCTAGCCAAAATAGATCTCACGTTTTATACAGATTAATCTCTTTCTTTTTTTTTCGAATTGTTCCACTAATCCCTCCTGGCTCTCCCCTACCTTCTCTCCCGTCCGTTCATTATCCCTGAATGTGCATGTGCGAGCGTTTTATACAGCGAGCACTAACCCCTTTTCCAGGTCCCGGCCTCCTATCTGCAACCGGTGCGTTCTTTCTTTCTTGTTTCAGCGGGCACTTTGCTGTTTTCCAGGATTCTCTAATCCAGGCACTGCGTCGCGAAAAGGAAAAATACCCAAGCCACTAC